TCTTTCCCTTAAAAATTGCAATTTGTAAGATAATTTTTTTCTAATTTATATAAATTATGATTATCTCACTAGTCAACATGAAATTATCCAATATTTTCTAGACAAATTGTATGAGAAGAAATTATGAGAAACGACTCCAAATAGTTCAACGAATTCAACTAAAATGTATTAACTGTATAATTTTTTTTATATTATCGTCAAATTACGGATTAGCATATATGGTGAGATTATTAAATTTTAGTACTAAAAATTTTATCTAATAATTATTGATTTTCATTTTCAATTCTTTAAATTTTTTCTTTCGTTAACACTTTGATCTTGGTATAAATATTTTTTGTTCCACGAATTTTTTTAAAAAGATTAAATTAAATAAAATTTATACAAGAACTAAAAACAAAAACTGACAAAATTTCATAAATTAAAAACATTTAATTATTCTTACAAAAGGCTCTGCTATGATATAAGGACAGATTATTCTATCCACGTAAACTTTCCTCTCTCTATATATTAACTAATTATGAACATATTAAAAATATTTTACTGTTTAAGGAAATAAGACTGATGTAAACATGGGTTGATCTTCCAAAAACCAAATCATGATTTATTAAATGCAACATGTCTGTCATACATTGAAATTCAAGTTCAAGTTCAAGCTCAGCAACACGACCCATGTAATGAAACTAGCCTTATTCCAACACTGATGAAACTTAAAAAGAGACACAAAGTGAAAACAAATGAAAATCAAAAACCATGAATCTTGATCTGGTCCTTCCTGACAAGGCCAGCTTGGAGCAAAAAGTGAGAGACGTTCTTGCGCTGATCGCCTTGGAGCTGGATGATCTTGCCAAGCTCCTTGTCCTGCACCACGTTCCCGTTGCAGCAGAACTCTTTCTTGAGATCCTTTAGGATCTTCTCGTAGCTGAACTCCTTCTTCAGCCCCTGCACTGTTGTCAAACTCTTCTTCCCATTCCTCTGCTGTATGCGAATGTGCACATACTCCTTCGCTCCTGGGGCATCCGATTCTATGGCCTCTGCAAATGGGTCGAATGGGGTAGGAACCTGGATTTCCAACTCAACCATGTACTTTGCTTTTTCAACACTCTCTAACACCCAACACAAGCTTGCTACTGAAAGGAACACACACAACAAATCTTAACTTTAGGATATATACTCGTCCAACGTATGCTAAATCATGCACCAAACATGCCATGTAATCTACTTGTATCACATACAAGTCCTAAACTACAACAAGGTTCAGAGATAAGATATGTGTATAAAATTTATGATAACAAACCAAGACATAGACATAAGATCATGTCCATAAAAATTACAATAACAGCAACAAAATTTGAACTAAGACATGCACACTACTACCAACTAGTTATTGAATCGGCAAAACACAACAACTATAAGATTTATAGCAGTCAACACTTCAATTAGAGGTTTATAAAAATGACAAGGGAATATAAATTATGGCAATCAACAAATACTAGGATACACATCAAAAGAAAGATGCATAACGAAGCTCATAATACAACTTCATTACCAACTAAAACAAAAGCAACCACCGAAACAAGATAAATATAGTAAAGTAGCAATTTCAATCAACAAAAAAGTTTCCATTTTGAAGGTACCCAAAACACGGGATCACCGATTCATACAAAGAAAGACATAAAACAAGCAAGATCACAATCAGAACCAGACCCAAGAAACCAAAACAGAGGAAAGAGAGAGAAAAAAAAGAACCTGAAAGAGAGAAGAGGTTTCGAGAGACTTGAGAAACAAACAAGTCTTATGTAATATATAGTATGTCTGAGGAACGTGAAGAGAGGGTTATGAGTATATATAGTGGTGCATGGGGAGAAGCGGGGCAAGTGTGAGGGCCACTAGTTTTTTGAACGGGTGAGATTGCTGGAAGGGTACACGTGGACGGTGATTAAGGGGGGTTGGCATAGGAGGATGGTATTGTTAATTGAGATAAGAATAAGGGGTGCGTAGATTGAACGCGGAGCAGAGGCAAGTTGAAAGCGTTGGTGACTTGAGTGATAAGGAAAGTGAGTGGGGTCCGTAAATCACCAAGAGAAACATACAGAAGAATCCAGAACGCACATATATATTCACATCATCTATTTCTTTTTCTTTATGCTTAAAGGTGTTGCATAGAGGATCACGCCACAAAACTTTTATCAACAAGTAATGAGACTTTGAAAATGTTTATAGTAAATATATAAGTATTATCATTTATTTAATAGTTTGTCAAAATTATAATTCGTTTTAAATTAAGAGATTATACCGAAAAATGCCATTTAGTCATTATGTTTTAACCAGGAAAAAATATGGTCTTTCTATATGATAAATTCTAAACACTAAATTAATTGATATTATTTAATTTTTAATTCAATATATTAAAAAATATTATAAATAAAAAAACGCTTAAGATTCATAATTTTATAATGTTAAAGTTAAACTCTGCTCACAAATATCATTTTGGGAGGAACGACTTTCCTTTTTAATGATAAAAATATATAATGGGGAAGGAACCAAGTGTGAGAGTGAGACACATTCTATGAACCATCTCTTTCGTACGGACTTTCCTTTTTGATTAGGTACAATGAATTTATAAGATAATAAGTCACAAATCTGATCAATGAAATTAACAATATTATGTAATTTTAATACTGTCATACCAAAAAAAAACACACACAATACTACATAATCAAAACTGTTAGCTTAAATAAAATATTATATCACATATGAACGATTAAAAAATTACCAAAATTATTTAGAGAATAAATCAGAAAAATTCCATTTAAGGGTCTCTTAATTATGATAATGCCTAAAAAAGATTAGTCTAGAAAGGATGCATATAAGAATACTCTGATTAAATACAAAAAGTAAAGACCCCAACACTATTTTGACATCTTAAAACTAGCAGAAATAGCTTCCTTTGACATTTCCTTTTTCTCCTATAAAAGGTAATGCAAATAGTCGAAACAATTAGACAATCTCATAGTTACGTCTTTATCAATCATTAGGGGCATGACGAATGCTGGTTAAGGGAGTGGAGATGCCTTTAATACCATTTACAAAAAGCAATTCAAACCAAGATAAGGAGACAGCAGAAAATTTCTATGTGCTGGGTTTATCTGGCAAACGTTTCAGATCCATTTCAACTTGGTGGATTGTCCATTGCATGTTCTCCAATTTCTGCACAATATCATCAACATATGAAACTCGGAAAATATAAACACACGTGGGAAATTGAAAGGATAAATCTCAGCTTTTTCCTTTAAGTTTGATGAGTTTCATTTTTAATCAACTAGTATATTTTATTCATATTCTTTATATCCATTGTTATATACTGAAATTTCTTCATTTTTGTCATCCCAAATAAGTAAAGTTTCAAGATAAACAGAATAGAGATATTTGAGAGAATTGAATGAATATTGATTGATATTTGGTACATAAATGTTTGATTCAAAAGAGATAATAAATTGGTCAACTAATATATTATACAGATTTAATAGTTATGTACTGTCAGTATAAAAGTTTTTATACGGTCGACCGATTAAAAAATCACTATTAGTATGAATTTTAAGATAAATTCGTAAAAGTCAACAAACTTATCATAAATGATGATTTTAATTAAATGATAGTGTAAAATGGTTTTATACTGCAAGGGCACAACCTTTTCTCTCATAGTTTATTCATATTTTGTATACCCGTTGTTATAATTCTCAAATTTCTTCATTTTTGTCATCCCAAATAAGGAAAGTTTCAGGATTAACATAATAGAATAGGAAAGAATTGAATGCATGTTGATTGATATTTGGTACATAAATATTTAGTACGAAAGAACTAAATATTTTTTGTAAATTGTTATCACCTTCACAATGTCTTGGTACTGCCTTGCAATGTTGTCAAAGTGAGGATCAACGCCCTGGTACTCGCGCAGGCGGGTAACCTGATACAAGGGTCAAAATATAACTAGCACAAACATGACGAATGATCAAAGTAATGGAGGATAACATAATCATAAAATTAATACTAGATTACTAGTACGTTATTATCACGCAGAATCATATTCTTGAAATTATTTCAAAGTTGGAACAAATATTAAGTCCCATTCATTTTAGTTACTGGTTAAGATAATAACTGTCAACCCTTGGCAGAGACTTCACAATTCAAAATGCAACATTAACAACACTCTAGAATTTTCTTACACTTCTGCATCAGAGAATTCACATTTCTGTGATGCAGATGATAGTATTAATAAACAATTTACTACTTCAAGTGTATGTTTTAATTCCGCAATCTCTTGATTCTGTTCTTGTGATGCAATATCCATCAAAATACTCTAATTTCTATCATATTATAAAGAACAACAAATATTAATTATTCAATTAAAACAGTAACAGTAATGTGGGGACTGGAGAATGTGGTAACCAAAACAGTAAGGTATTTAAGCTTTGCATTTAAACAGATGTGCTATTATGATTTATAAGCTCATTAAAAGTTTAATCTCCATATCTATTGCGGTGGTTATACATCTAAAATAGAAAATGAACTTACTGAATAAGAATTAATCCATTATCTTCAATGCATAATGAATGACACGATGCTCTTCACAGGTATGAGCTAATTTCACAGAGCTACCTCATGTCTTGTCACATTAACATTTTATTCTGGTGAAGAACTCAACTCATCGCGAGAAACTACATAGAACTAAACTAGAAGACCACAAAATTACCTAAGTGCTAAAACATGCATGTGGACATATGAACTTACCGCTTTATTATATGCAATAGAAGCTTCTTCCGTCGCCTCAACAAGATGTTTCCTAAAATTAAAAAAGGAAAAATGGTTTAAACACCAAATCAGGAAGTGATAACAGACTTGAAAATGTTTAATCATTCATACCTTATCTTATGAAGGGCAGGTATAGAGTCCTTAGTGTAAGTTTCGAGCAGGAGAATATGTTCTAGAACCCTGACATGCAATGACAAATATTATATTTATCATAGAACCTGGCAAAATAAAAAATTGTGGCTAATATAACATAAAATAAATGCTGTGTAACTATTATGAGCTAAACCAGCTAATGTCTTGACAAATCATGCCTCCCTCTGCTTCAAGGTGGAGGTACAAAAATGATACAGATCATATAAAAACAGTAATTATGAGAACAAAAGGAACTTGACAGTTAGAATAGAAATCCTGTCATCTTAATTTAGGACAAGTTAATTTTAAGAATTATGCCCTGAGTCTCAGATTCAACTCTCTTCTGTTTACTGCTCAACTCCATCCAATTCTATTGCCACTTTTTGCCTTCGTCTTCTCTAAACAATAATCATGGTCCATTCAACACATCAATTGTGATGTATTGCTACCAGCCAGCACAGAGGTTTTGACTTGTATTTTTGGCTTGGCTTGTGTATCATGAGGGCATGTCAATATGTTGGGTAGGTGAGTTCTCTTATTGCTGAGGTTCCTTTATGGCCCGTTTCTGTCTCAGGTGGTGGAATGATGTCATGCGCTTTGGTCTGAGGCTGAGGTTTTTACTGTTTAATTCAGCAGCCATAGGATGAAGATGGCCAAGTTAGAATTATTGCAGCAACATCCATGTTAAGTTTGAAGTGGCTTTACTACCTTTTCCATTCTTGGTTGCTTTGCTGATTGATCTGTGGCTCAAAAGTCCACCTTTTTACCTTTAGTAATTATATTCAAGAGGCTTCAATGACAATCAAATTTTATTTAAGTTTCTCAGCCTTATGAGTTGCATGACTTGTCCATGCATTTATGTACCTAGTTTGTACCAGCTGGTTGGTGGTTTGGTTTTTGTCTTATATGTTATGTGGCCTTTGATTTTGGATCCTATGGCTGAAGGGTGTTATGTATGTGCCAGAGATTGGAAGAATTGAAGATGCCAACGTTCAGTCAAGGGACTGAGGTATCCGAATTGAAGATTTCAAGATTTGAAAAGGATGGCTTCCCCATCTTCAACAGCTGCAACTAATCACATGTCTCCTAAGTGATTGCTATCAACTAATACCATAGAGCATGGTTAATTTCTTTGATTGATGGGAAATGTGTTTTCATTTTTTTTTTAGGGTGTTTCTAACAAGTCCACTATTAGCAGGGGAAGTGGCCAATAGCCAAGTGTAATTGGTTTACATTTGGGACTTGTTATTTGTTTCTTTTTCCAGGTGTATGTCTTGTTTTGGTGATTTGAGTTGGTCACAACTTGTGCGCAATTTAGGCAGCTTTATTTTATTAATGAAATCTTATGGCTTACCCCCCCCCCCCCAACCACAAAACCCTCTCCTCCCACAAAAAAAAAAAAAAGTTTAAAGTTCATTTCAATTTGGGAACCCATTATTCCAGCAAAGTTTTAAGAACTATCTACAAATAAAATACTGAAACCATATTACCACAATATATGCTCCTTAATTTTTGCATTTTAACCAAAGTGCAAAATAATTGAAATGAGTTACCACTAGAATAACAAAAGAAAATGCACTATTACTGGTTTAAGAACCTAAACGATTTTTTTATATCAGCTTGGTGTCTCACAATGGTGTCCCATTATACATGAAATCTTGAAATTATTTAATCACCAATATGCATATACACAATCCGAGTTGACATACCTCTTTTAAAGTTATTTAAACCGTATAATTTTTGGAAGCAGTTAAAATAAAAATATATACAAAACTAGTCCTGTAGGACAGTAGGAGTATATGTGTGATAAAAATGGTTCAAAGATTGGGAAAGAATATGGCAAAAAATGGTAGAATTTTATTGATGGAGATTCATGTCATTTCCTCCATCAATGGGTCAATGGAGAAACCCAGGTTAGGAGGAGAAAAAATGATGGTAGAATGTAGACTGCATCTCTCACTAGGAGTCTAGGATTCTAGAAACTGGTCTCTCCCCAAACCTCATTAATCAACTAATTGCCTCACCCCATCTTCTCTGCCTTTATTTATAACAGTGTAACTAATTAACTACTCTAAAAAATTACAAGGCCGAGTCTCCACTGACAAGGCCTAACTAACAGTGGCAGCCTACTTGCTTTCTAGAGCACTTCCCCAGTTCTCCAGCTGTAAACCTTCCAAACTAGGGGTTCAGTGCTAACGATGTGTGACAAAAACAAAGCTAATTTACATTGTCTAGATGTTATATACAATAAAATTTAATTTCTGGTTTTTTTTAATATTATCTTAACCTTTAAGTAGAAGCAATGGTTTGTACCCAACTTGTATCAAGAAAACATCACCAACAGTATATTTATAGTGAAGAACAATGAATATATATGAGGGTGGCACATAAGAAACAAACCTCAATTTTGCACTCATGGTCTCACACCTTTTACAGAGCCAAGTCTTTTGTAGCTCATCCTACAAATACATGGTATTAGTCAAGATATGTCTTTAGCTATCAACATAGCGGAATTTATTAAATTATAAATACTGACATATTTATGTTGATGCTCCAACTTCAAATCTTTGACAAGTTTAATAAGCACTGCAAGTATCTGCTCCAAGACCTATTTCAGCAAAACGACATTCAGTTTCATGCCACCATGAACATGTTACCAAAAAAGAAATACAACTTGTAAGTTGTAAACTTGCAATGCATGATACACCACATATGCAAAATCTTTCTCTCTCTCTCTCTCTGACACACAGATTCAGTGTGGGAGTTTCAGAAAATGTTTGTGCCCACAAGAAAGATGGTTCTTGTACTAAATGCTTGTGCACATACATTGTAATATTCAGCAAACTTTCTATCTGCAGAATAAAGGTCATCCCGCAGTGCTGTTTCTTCTCTTTCAATCTCCTCAATCAACAATTTCACCCTGGTAAAGCAACAGGCATGGAAAGCAAGGAACTTTAGTCTACAGAATACAGATACATTTCCGGTATGGAACTTACAAGTACTGAAGCATACACTGAACATGTAAGTATTTTTCTGTCTACTTCACATAAAGAATATTTTTCCCAGTTCAAATATTTGTTTTCAGCATAGGATACAAGCAATGGCAAATATAAGATAGGTCCTACAGAATTCAAAATAAAATGACATTATTTTTTAAAGTTAAAAACCCTACCCATCTTGCGGGGCTAAAAAATATAGAAATCAAATAAACCTTGATCCTTGTTATTCAGATAACCAAAATTAAAGCAAACTTTTAGCTATGTCATATTAGTAGTATTTTTCATTTTCCCATCCAACAACTTTCACAAAAAATATAAACATGATTTTGGGAGTCATTAAATTATAGTTGACTACATATACAAAAACCTCACATGTCTCATCTTCGGATAGCTGACACTAAAGATTGATACTGGTTAGTAGCCTTTTTAGACCTTAACCTCTCATGTAGAAGCCCTAGGTATACTTCAACACAATTTTGAAGATTTTTATCTTATAGCTTACAAGTGAATATATTGCCAAAAGAATTAAAAGAATAAGGCTACTCAAATGAACACAAACCTTTCTGGAAGCCGAGAACTTGAACTCTGACTTCCAGATGATGAAGAATCTGAATCAAGAACCAAGGAAATGAAATGAGGGATCAGATAACACATAAAAATGAAATTGTAACCACAGAAAATCAACATTTCTCCATCACAAGATATTATATCAGTAATAAGCAGTTCACACTTACCATTGTCATCCAATACAAAGGCATCTGATAATTTTTCACATTTCATTTTCAAGCGAGCCTCTACCTCACGTGAAAGAGACATCCGATATTCAGTCATATCCTAAAGATATAGTTAATGCGTCAATAATGAAAAACATAGAGTTAACCATGTAAAAATGAAAAAGATCTACCACAGAAAGAGCATTCTTAGAATCTGACTTTCATATGCTGTTAAATGGTATACCACAGATAATGATGTTTTTTGATGCTGAGTTTGCCACAAATAAGCAGGTGTAATTCCCAAAAAACGATTTGGAACACCACCAACTCCAAGTTCCACCGGATCCGAAGCAGCAAGAGGAGAATTAGCCCCATTGACAGAGCTATTTGGTGTGTTATAGTTAGAAGAATTAGCTCCACTAACAGTACTGTCTAGGGAGCTTCGAGACACTACACTTAGTTTTTCAATATCTTCATCATGAACTTCCCCATCTTTGGAAATAAGAGGTAGTCTCAATCGTTGACCTGCTTCAGCAACAACCATTTGGTGCTCTAAAGTCTGATAAACCTGACAAAATGTATACATGTAAATTTTGTTTAAATCAATATAGACCAAGGTGCAAAAGGAGAAAAAAAAAAAAAAAAAGATATAAACACATAATGCATAGACTTAATTTCTAAGAACAAAATCAACAACACTCTCACAAAGGTCTCATATATGTTCAAAAAACAAACTAACTTTCCAGCGATAATAATTCAAAACCTGAGGAGAGTTCCTCAACCCAAGCTGTGGATAAAGATTGCCAGTGTCTCTGATTCCACCAAGGTTAGACACAGGAATGGCTTGCTGATACTCTTCCACCATTGCAACAGCCTCAGAATATATAGCCTGCAACCAAGCCCCATATGAGAAATACAAATCATCAAGTACAAAGAAAGTCACCGAAAGCATCGCTGAAAAGAGTAGATTGCATAGTTTTTAGTCCTGTGAAAAGATAGAGAGGAAGACCAAAAAGGCCATCAGATAAAGTTGTTAATAGAGATCTTGTGGTAAATAATATTTCTATTTTGGTCTTTCACCAAGGCAAATGACATTATATGATCCATGTAACAGACTTCACCTAGTTTGATAAGATTTTTCCTTTTGTTAGCTGTTGCAAGCAAACAAGCACACTACAGTTAACCAACAACACATTCCAGCAATACCAAAAACTAAACACAGCCCCAGATCACAATTCTTAATCCAAATACAACATAACATTAAAAAAAATGAAAAATAAACAAATCTCTGTTTCTATAAACACTTATCATTACTCATTCTATAATTAAGCCTTTACCATGGCTTCCAGGTAACGCAGTCTTTCCCTGCACATTTCCTCTCTGGCCTGCAAATCAACACCCGAAATCAATACCCAACTTGATTTTACTTAATTTTATGGGAATTTGCCGAAATGGGTCAGAAAAAGTTTAAATTTTTAGAAGCAGAAGAGAACACCCATTTTGCAATTCTGGTAGGAAATTTCACAAACACGTAGGAGTCAAAGTGGGGTGAGAGAGAGAGAGAGAGATACGAGTTGGAGATCGTTGAAGAGAGGCTTGGAGATGAGAGATCCATCGGGAGCGAAGCAGTGGCGCTCCAGCTGATCAACCACCTGCGCCACGTCGGCGGGGAGGTTCTGGCCGTGCAATCCCTTCACCATGGATCAAAACGGTGTCGTTTGGGTCACTGTTGTGATGCCTTCGAGTTGAAGAAGCGGCAAGTTCGAGTGGAAGTTGGACATCTCAATTCCCTAACATCCAAATTTGAATACGAGGATGTCCAACACCGTTGGATCCACGTTCAATCGTGAATCCAGTTCTCGACAGATTATAGTGTGTTTAGAATAGTCGTGAAAATTATATATTATTTTAGGAGAAATATTACATGTACATTACAAATTTATAATAATTTATATATCATTTTTTTTTCTATCTCTTTTTATAATTAATATCATATCTTCAAATTAAGTAAAATGACGAAAAAGGATTGACATAAAAATAATGTTATAAAATTATTCAATTTTTGTTATACATGTAATATTATTTTTATTTTAATAATTAACATTGTAAGATTTTAAATTTACACTATCATGTTATTATCATAATTTTTATGAATTAAAAAATAATATAAATAATTGATCTTTGTTTTAAATGATTATTATGACATCCTCCTATTTCAAGAATTTAATAAATAAAATATAATAAAATTTTTAGAAAATAAAATATTTATAATAATACTTTTTATAAATTGATGAAAAGAGTTCATATTTTTCATCAATACTTAAAATAAAAATTATAAAGAATCGTTCTAAAAGGAATAAAACATTTCAATAAATCAAATAAATTCTAATAACTAATCAATTTAAGAGAAATTCAACTTAAACAAATGTTAATTTTAGAACTTGACCTTGATGTTACACTATTATAACAATATCTCTTTTTAATTATTTTCCTTCCTCAAACTCATCATCTTGTACTAGCTTTATTCTTGCAAATGATGTTCATCTCAAATACAAACATACAAACATAAAGAGTAATAATATATCTCATTCATCAAAGATATATAAAGTATAAGGATAATCACACACAATTCGTACAATAATTACATCATATACATACTCTTTCATCAATTCCTCTTATACAATATTAATAACAAGTTAACATATTACATTCCATTTATCACTATCATTTCATCAATCACAACACATCATATTCATCAATTAAAACTTATGAGATGAGATGTATCCTCCTAACTCTACATGCATGTGGTACTGATCTCCTCCTCATCAATTATATAATAACTTCGGATTAATGAAACAGGACCACCCAATTGAATAGTGTATGGACCACTCCCCAACAATGATCCCCTAAAACCATCTCACTAAAGGATGTTTGTCAAGGTTTTGTCGAAGTGTTATAGTTAGTCTTAGTAGCCTTTCATTCTCCATAAAAGTTTCTTCTCCATAATAGCCTCAAGGTATAGATAAATGATCTATAATGTCCCACATGCATAGACTCACACTATCCCATGAAACAAAGCATAAAATATATGGACTCAAACACAAATAATTCAACTACACAAATGCATCATTGACTACGATCAAGTATTAGTTCGCAACACTGGACTTATTCACCATATCACATGATCAATACTTTCACAACATGCATCATCCTATATTCATCACAACTCAACATTACGTCACATCATCATTCATTTCATGCATCATATCTCCCTATACATCATCATCATCATCAAATTCTTATAATTTATCTCACCATAAAATTCATCATATTTATTTAATAATATCTTAATAGTATTATTTAGTCAACATCATAGTACAACATAACAAATTCCTTAAATATATTCATCAATGTTTTTCATTAATTTTAGTTTATTAGTAAATATTATCAACCCTTCTTTACAATGTCTTATTTAGCAAGCAAACCTTAAAATAAAACAATTAAAAGAAATAGACATGACTCTCGATAAGGTTTAGTTCATGCCTAGCGTGATGAAACCAAAGTCTCTTTGTTATTCTTATGCTTGACGTGGGATTTTCACAACATTATTTATTAATTTCTTTTCTTAATTCTTGGTCTTAGTATCTTCTCTCGATTCCTTAATTATACTTTAAATTGTACAAAATAATTGTTTAAAATATATGAAATAATTAATTAAAATATGTGCTCGCTTGAATGATTCTAGATCCACACCAAGAATCATCTCTTCAAGCCTTTTGTCTAAAAGTTTGGGTTTGAATTTTGACTGACATACTTGGAACATCAACATTTTCATCATCTCATATCTAACACATATAATTCTTAAGAAATCCATCATACAAAAGATGTTCCCTTATAACATCAAGTTCTAGACGACTCTCATTACAACAATTAATACAAGGACAAAAACTTTTCATTCATATCAACATTAACATTTTGTATTACATATGTATTCAATAAAACATTCGACTCCAATCACATATGGGTCACTTATGCGTGACACATGTATTCAACTTCGATCCATAACTTTTGTTCTCCATTAAAAACATAGACTGTGCATGTCAAACTCGCTTATTTTATACAAAATGTGACTTCATCCCATTCAAGATGATTTTTTTTATACTTGATCAATATGTACAATTACAATCCCTTTTCTTAAATTTGACAAAATTTCGGCAGTATTTTACATTGGTCTCTCATTACACGAAATAAAAAGTGGTGACATAAAACCATAGTCAAATTTGCACTCAAAGAACAACACGAAATACAATAAACCAAAATTCTATCAATTTAAGATGAGACTTAACTTGTACATATCAAACAAAGTATAAAAAAAAAAATTACTCATCCCAAATTATCCAATAAGACACTTCAAGATTTTGTACAAATGATTAAACCAATTTAATCATTTATATTGAATCTCAAACGAGAAACTAAAATTCACTCGATATGAGCATAAATTTAATATCAAATAATATTTATAAAATCTTAACAAATAAAGTACCTTTTTTTTATTATTTTTTTTTCTAAAATGGGTACTTTATTTAACAATAAAACGTACCTAATTAAAGTTTAGCTAATTTTTACTTTGCTTATTGATATACTTAAACTCAGCGGGTCGGTCGCTAATTGGTCACTACGATTATGGTCGCCATAGTATATGGGACCAAATTAGCGACCGAAAAAAAGGTCGCTAAATCGGTCACTAAATGTGTTATTTATTTTTAAATTTTTAAATAATGATTTTCCTTTCCGTCGCTAAATCGGTCGCTAACATTTTTCAAAATAAAAAAATATTTTTAATTTCGGTCGCTAAATCAGTCGCTAAATTTTATTATTTTAAAAAATAATTTTCATTTCGATCACTAAATCGGTCGCTAAGTGTATTTTGATATTTTTTTTAAAAAAATAATTTCTGATTCTGTCGCTATATTTTATTATTTTTAAAAATAATTTTCATTTCAGTCGCTAAATCAGTTGCTAAATTTTATTATAATAAAAAATTAATTTTCTTTTCGGTCGCTAAACATAATTTTATTTTGTAAAAAAAAAACTAATTTTTTTCGGCCGCTAGGCTTACTTTATTTTTAGACATGATCGCTAATTTTATACCTTAAACACTATATATTTTATTTTCATTTTCATTTTGAACCTGTTTAACAATGAAACAATAACACTAAAGTTGATAATGCATATATAGTCCTAATATCATAATAAAAGTAATTAAAATATATAATATATGATACAATCTACAAAATCACAACTAATACCAATTTCATGCAAGCTTATCCAAATCAGATAAATATATATAATATATCACACTCGCAGGTCAGCATACAATCCAACAAATATAGGTACATATTTTTCTTTCTAAAGAAAAAATAAATAAATAAAAGAATGACCAACTCTTATTTCATGAAAGCAACATAATATGAAAAATCCAATATATACAAAAGAGCTCAACTCAATGAGTCAAGCACATACTAAGCAAAAAGGAAGAGAAGAACAAAAACAGAACAATATTTACCATTGGAGTATTTTCAAGTTAATTATCCCCACCCCTATGAAAATAAAAAAGGAAGCAGAGATTGAATTTATTTTTTAAACATCCTTGTACAGTATCTGGTATTTTGGTACACGTTCACAATAAGCTTTCCCTTCATTGCTCCTCTAAATATTGTCAGTAGAAATTTCATGAATACAGATAATAAATACCTTGGAAGTAGACAATTCAATTAGAATACTGGGAAATTTTACAAATAATTAGTAAAACAAAAAAAATCATTTAAAATACAGAAATTTAAATATTGCCAAAGAAAGATGTACTCAATATATCAAGGGACGGATCTAGGAATTATGTTTTAAAAAAGAAAAACTAAAATTTTAAATATTTATGTGAAATGTCAGCAAAATTCCCTTAGTTTATCTATTGAGTGAACCACTTTCTCCTTTCCTACTAGTCCAGTGGGTTTACTTAGATTAAAACTTTAGGTTTTTTTTTTCTGTATTAACTTTTATTATTCATTTTCATTGGAAATTAGAAATGAAACACAAGGATGGCTCTGCTCCGTGGCAAAAGGACTCCTATATATTGAAGGACTTAAAATGAAAAGGAATAGAAAATTGATCTATAACAGCAATTATAACAAAATATCTTCCCAGAGTTCCCCTTGCAGTTATTACAATACAACACTAAAATAAGGTAAAGTTATGTAAAAGCTAACCTAACACTAAATAAATAAACTCCAGATATTCAATTATTCACCCCATCCCCTATCCAATTATCAAGGCAAATGAGAAAAGAAAAGGAAAGAACAAAAAAAAATTCAAATACTTGAATATTGAAATCAGTTTGCAAATTGTGAAGCCAGTAGAAATAAATAGCAGTGCTCCCACAAGCCAGTAAGTCATTTTTAAGCATTCTTGATTTTATCCACCAACCAAAAGGGTCTGCTGTGTCCTCCTGACAAATTAAAACTAGCAATCAAACAAAGATTTTTCTGATTGAATATTTCAAAAGGCATCTTGCTGATACTATGATGTTTAGATAAAAAAAGATTTATGAAACAAAAATCAGAGAAAAAAGAAGCAAATGCTGACAAAAAAGTAGGGAAAAATTAGTAAGTTCACTTTATTTCTTATTGCTAATTTTAGTATCAACAAGACTAAAAGCATAGCTTTATGCTTTTACTTCACAGTCTTAGTTACTGCTTTAAGAATAAATTTAGTGCTAAATAATAATAATTAGCAGTTAAAAGTAATTTACGATCATACCAATTGGATCAAAGATCTACATGAATAATATTATTAGTCAAACAAACCAAAATAGATAACTCTACAACATCTATGAAGTCTTGCTTTGTGTAAAAAGAACCAACCCATTTAGTATGATCAGCAGTCCTACATATAGTAGAAAAAATGTCAAAAGACTTGCTCTGTAAATTTATTCATACAAGTCAGAAAAGAATACAGGATAGACACAAAATTATGACTGCAATTTAAAACCTTGCTTCTAGCTTATCAATACAAAATTTATATTGAGGACAGAGGCACGCTAAATAAACTAATGCAATTGAATCCACTACAATAAAAACATATAATTATAATGCACACTTATGTCACTTCCATCAATTTCATTTGTTCAATCCACCTAATTGCAAATTGTGAAGCACACTCGCTAGGTTAGGATTTTCGCAACAGAGTATCGCAAAGTCACCTGGAATAACTCGAAATTGAGCCTCCTGAGCATGAGATTGTGCGCAGCGTCACTTGACAAAACGGAGTCCTTGATATCCTATGGAGTGTCGCGGAGAAACTTCTCCACGGGAACGAGGTCAATGTCGGGATATTTGGACTTGAAGTCTTTGCAAGCCTTGATTGCCTTGTTTTGCTTTGACTCCTTGCATGACATCAACTCCCAGAAGTTTACTGCGACAGGAAGCAGTGTCGACTGTCGAGAGGAGGATGAAGGAGAGGGCAAGCTCGACGAAGAATGCCTTCAAATCTAGGGAAACAAAAGGGGACAACGGCTGGTGCAGCGGCCCAAGCGGCAGATTATAAATAATTTTATCACTTTTTAATAAAGTAAGTGAATGATAATTAAATATTATAATTATTTTACAATAATTTAAAATGAAAAGATAATAAAATATGTTAACTTATGTTTCAAATAAAATGCTTTAAAATATTATAATCAAAAGAAATCCAATATTAAATCAAAAGATTATAAAAATTATAACTAAAACATAATAAATATTTTGATATTAAATTTATTATATCTTAAAATTAATTAAATATTTGTATCAAATAAACTGATACAGATTTTAGATTTTATTTACTATGTTTTATAATCAAAAGAAATCTAATATTAAATCAAAAGATTATAAAAAATTATAACTAAAATCATAATAAATATTCTGATACTATATTTTTAAAATATATTTTAATTAAAAATATATTTTTGGTGAATATGATGGTTAAAAGTATTTTTTATGAATAATTATATTAAAAATAAATTTTAAAATCTTATAATGGTGTTTTTTAATGATGTTAACTTAAATATTTCCAAGATTTTAGAATAAATTAAAATAAAAAGATAATAAAATATGTTAATCTGTGATGGGATTTTATTTCAACACGAAACTTTAAAATAAATGTGCGAATAAAAAAAACTCCGTCAAAACGATCATATATTCTATTTGATTGAGAAAAAAGTAAGGAAGCGCATTGTGATGTATTAAAAATAGAAATTTGCTAACCTTGTTTTTGGCATGTTTGTCTACTTTAGTAACATGGGCTTTTCCTATGTTGAATATCCCACGAGCACCCTTACCACCGCTGCCGTCACCAACACCAAGTTCATGTTGCATTCTCCTTCCCATATACAATAGAGATCCCAAAAGCAACAGTGTTGGAGCAAATCTCATCAGTTCCTGGTACCAAACCATTTCAGAAGAATAGGTAACAGGCACAAAATCATGAGAGTCAATGCCTAGCGCTTCTTGGGCTTCCTCAAGCTTTTCATCAAAAGACTCGACACTTCCAATATTGAAATAATATTTATACTGGCTTCCAGATCCTTTTGCAGGTATGGTCGCTTGGACTACTTCACTGTCTGTTTGATTACGGGGAGAGTTCCTTACATATACTTTAGCAACTGATTTATTTGTTACAACAATATGGTCTACTAATCCAGGTTCCAAAAGCTTGTTTTTAAACTCCTGAAAGCTAATCTGCTAAGAATCAAATCGTTTTCCATGTCAGAAATATGATAACAAGGAAATGAGAGAAACCATAAAAACCAGACACAAATGAACAGGCATCTCGTTGCCAATATATATATATATATATATATAAGAATAAAAAATCACACATATAAACACTATACCACTTGAATGGACCTAATCAGTTTTATTGTTTCATGCACATCCAAAACTATAAAAGCATTAGTTTTTATTATATTTTTAGGTGAACGATTATTTGATGACTTAATTTTTTTAATTCTTATGATATACACATTAACGCAACAAAAGTTTATTATTATTATTAATAATGTAGTTGCGTAACATTATCAAAAGGCGAGTGCGTATTTTTCATCTAAGTTTAGTTTTGGAATGTGCCTAAGGTGAATTAGTTAAATTGGTAATGCACCGAAAAATCACTAAAATTCATAATTAGATATAATAAAAATAAATTGGACGGATGATACATATAACTAATTGCTAATAAAATATTTTGTGATTTTATTTTCCATATTTATGAATATAAAGTAGTGATATTTCTTTTTATTGACAAGTTGTTTGTTTAAGTGATACTGGATTCAATCCCTTTAGATAAATTTTTTTAAAGTTTTGTGGATGCAAAAAAAGTAATTAAGAGGATAAACTCTACCGGTAATCAGTCATACTCTTTGACAAAAATCTGTCATTGGTAAAAGTAATGGATACTTCATACAAATAATATGGTTATAAAAAAGTGTCACTTCTTCATAAAAGAAACAAAGGGTTTCATTTAGTAATTATAGACGAAACAATGAGGGTGAAAAGGTGAAATTAGGGATGAGAATATGTTAGGTTATGCTAGACTTTAAATATATAGGTTAAGCCTTTATATAAATTAAAGCCCAAATTTACTCATTTAGTAATCATAGATTTTTTTTATAGGTATGACCTGACTTTTTTAGAGTCTGATTCGATCTGTTAGCCTATTTAAAAGCTTATTTAAATGAATAATATTAATTAGGTCAATTAGCTTAATTTTTAAAAATTCAACAAATTTATTTTTAAAATATAGTTTACTCAATATTATTAAAATGTAAATTTTAAAGGAAATATAGGAGAAAAATTGAATCATTTTCTATTGAAGGAACAATTCATGCTAGATATTGATGTATACTTATAAGCAGGTCGTAAACTTATATAGCGACCGAAACCGTTTCGTCGCTATTTTAACCAATAATTATTATTTTAGTGACCAATTTAGCGACCGTTTATTGGCCATTAAAAAAATCGGTCGCTAATTCGGTCGCTAAATAAAATTTGCAACTAAATTAGATTCGATCGCTAATTATGTCGCTATTAGCGACGAAAAAAAATCGGTCGCTAATTTCAGTGGCTAAATTGGCTTTTTTTTGTAGTGGTTAATGATAAGATAATAGTTTTTTTTTTTACATTATTAGTACCTTTTTTTTTCTCTCTTTTCTTTAGTGCATGTCTCTCCTTTTTTTCATTTTATTTTTAAGGTATCTTTAGGAATGAAATTGGATGAAAAGGGAGATTTAAATTAAGAGAACTATATAATATTTATAAAAGTAAATAAAAGTTTATGACATTTCATTTATACTAATCTATTACTACATTCATCCTTAATTACAATACTCTTTCAATTAAATTATACTCTTTAAGAAAATTAGTTAATTTAGCTAAGAGTATTAAATTTGTCAATAATTAAACTACTTTTTCAAAATTATCCTTAATATCTCTTAAATTAACCTTCTCTTTTTCTACTTAAACATTCTCTACCTAATTAATTAATATTTGAAAGATAAAGATATTTATCTATTTATTTATCTTCTCTAACCCTAATAAGAAGCATAAAGTTTTTATACTATTAATTTCAAATATTTATGCATTATATTTTATCTAAAAGAATTACTAATTAAATAAGGATATTTTTAGAGAATATATAATTAATGAAACTGAGAAATAGAAAAAAAAAATCTTACAAAAGGAACTAGAAAAAAAAAATGAAAATGATTTTATACATAAAAACGGAAATAGTATATATTTTTTTTATTTTAAAAGTTATCAAATTAAAAATAAAATTTCTCACCAATATGTTATCCTGCTGCTGCTCTTCAAACCCGATCCGTCCTACCATTTGAATACGTTCCGCTAAACTCGTAGACAAAATTTGCTTAGCCACGTGATCGAGAAAAGGGTCATTGCTGGTTGCAGAAAAATCTGTTCTTAAAAATCGACGAACATCTTGAATCGTTTTCAAAATTGTTTCACGAGAAACAGAAGATTCCATATTCAATCCAGACACTGTTTTATTTTATATTTGAACTTATATATATGTAATGCAGGCACTCAATGTTTTACTATAATCTGCTCAACAAACATGTGCTACTACCTTTTATATATGTTTATTATATTCTTTTCTTTATTCCCCTCCAAAATGCTTTCCTCTCTTCATCAAAACTTACATTCAGATCAGAACATCAACTTTTACTAATTCTTTACTTAAAACTAATACAAACAAGATTCTTAGGTTTACTTAAAACATGCATTCAGATTTAATATTGTGTTTGTGTTTTCATCTTCACACGTCATTGGTTATGCTTGCTTTCTAGGCCTTCATTCTTTATGTAATACCAACACTTTCTTCCACAATCTATATACGACTCAAAATATTATCATAATGTAATCATAACATCATTTTATACATTGATTTGAATTAATGAAATAAAATATTAAATAATTTTTAAATTTTTTAAAAACTTGCAGATTTAATCTATACATTAAAAATTTTAAATTAAACAATTGAATTATTGAAATTTGATGTAGAACATGAGTTATTGAAGGAAATAAGTCTAGATAGACATATTCCTGGCTATTACCAATAAAATCACTACCTCGTGATCATCCTAGAAACGTAAAGCATTCATCCCATAAAGCCAATTAATTATTTCCATAAATTGCAAATCAAGAAAAGTGTTTTATCATAGGGTGCAAAACAATCCATTATTAAAAAAAATATAGAAAATAATAAGAAAAAAAATATAAATTGCTCAATGTGTAATTACCACTATTTCAAACTTAACCAAAAGAAATATTTTCATGTGAAACCCAACTCCTTTTTATCTTCTCTATTTTCTCTCATTCATCTCAATTTCTCACCTAAATCAACTACCAAACATAGAGTAAAAGATTGATTAGAGAATTAAAAGTGAAAATTTTATATTAAAAATACTAGTAATACACCAACTTTGATTTTTAAAAAACTCTCAATATGATTTTAAATTAAAAATTTATTAATTCATTAAATAACAATTTTTGCTTTTTGCATTAACCTTTCTTTGAAAATAATCATGTTCGAAACAATATTGGACACTAACGTAACGTTGATTAATGTCCTTCCGACGCTTATTGGTTAAACCCTTTTTATAACATGTGTTTAGAGGTCATTTTAAAAAATTCAAAACAGATTTTTTTATTAAAAATAATATAAAAATACAAAGTCACTAAATATATTAAAAAAAATTAATAAGATGCATTTAATGTTTTATGTCATAACATTTGCTATTCTTATTTTACAATTTTATATTTTATTTCTTTAATTAAATCATCATATCAAAAATATTTTATGTCAAATGCCAAGTAAAATTGAATTTTGAAAACCTTTGGGAGTGTTTGGTACAAAGATTCTTTTTTACTTCTCCGAAAATTTGAGGTTGAAAAAGTTAGTTTCTGACATTTGATTTACTAACTAAAAAAACCATATTTATAAGAAATATTGTTTTTTGAAAATGATTTTTACCCATGTTTCCCACAAAACTGTTCTCACATGACTATTCCTTTATTAGGCCAAATTATCTAATTCACTAATAATAACAAGTTAATTAATTTAGCTAATAATATTTCTTGTAAAAAAAGTAATATAAAAAATATTCTAGATTAATTTTTATAATAAGCATCAAACAAAAATTTATTTGAATCTTATAAAAAAAAAAAGATCATGGGAGTAAATAATATCATTAACCATCCCTTTAAAGTATGTGCTAATCAAAGTTAAAAATACACATTTTTAGCATTTGTTATTCAAAGTTAAAAGATACACATTTAACATTAGTTATTTTGTCAAAACAAGTTCTTACATCATTTGACATGTTAATTAATTTTCAAGTACCATGTTAACATTTCACATTCTATATCAAAAATATAATTACATTGTAGATGATTGATGCACTTGAAAACTTCAAAAAACATATTAACTAACGATTGCCAAATTAAATACAAAGTTTACTTTTTGTAATGTCAAGATTAAATATAAGAATAAGTCAGACCTTAAATAAATATCTATAATCTGATATATTTAAAGTTTAACTTGACATAACCTATTTAATAAAAAGACCAAATTTAGAATTTTAAAAAAATTATATTTTTATAAAAAGATTGAATTTAAACTTATAAAAAAAACTATTATATTTAATAGGCCAAACTATTTATTTATATAATATAATAAAAAAATTAACATATATGTATTATTAAAAATATAAATAAATAAATAAATTTATAAAATAAAAATAAATTATCAATATTTTAAAAAAATTATATAATTTTTTATATTATAAATTTATAAACTTGCTATCTATGCGTAAGTGTTCATCAAATATATATCAACATAAGACAAAATATGAACTGTCTCTCTAATAAAAAAAATAATCCATTTCTTCTCCTACATTTTTTTTTAAATTTAAATTTTAATACTATTGAATAAACTATCTTTAAAATAAATTTGTTGATTTTTAAAAATTAAATTTATCAACCTAATTAACATTATTAATATAAATAAAATTTTAAATAAACTAATAGGCCAAACTTTAAAAAAAATCATATCAGGTCTATAAAAATATATATAATAAATAATAAATCAAACTTAGAATTTAATATTATAAAACAGGTACAACTTATATATTAAAAAAGTCTTATCTAACTTTACATATTCTCATCTCTAGTGAGAATCAACTTGATAACAATGCTAATTTCAGATATTAAATTGATATTTTACTCTTTTAAAAACAATTTAATTAATTCCACTGCAAGACTATTTGTGTTCCCTTCAAGAGAATGCTATATTTTTACAAAACAATGAGAAACAATAAATAAACATATTACATGCAACACCAAAAAAGTGGTTTAAGCAACAAATATCACTATATCATTCAAGTAATCCAACGTGTCTAAATTCAAAATCCTGTTATAAATCTTTAAATACATTGCCTCTCATTTTCATCGCAATCAGAACTATCTACCATCTTCCAGAAACATATAACACGCAGGGTTACATGTAACTGATAGAGATGCATTATTTCAATTATTAATATTGAATCTCAACCGAAAAAAATGAGATCTCTTTTCATGTACAAACAACGCAGAAACTGGCCCCATTTCAATGTCTAGGTGAAGAATACCAAGATAAAGAGGAAGATAAATAGGGCCAACAAACCCAATATCATCATGATTTGACCCTTTGCACTAGCCTTCTTCATAACCATTCCTACCTTTTTCTGCAAGCATAATAAAAGAGCAACATTTCACCTCTTCAAGATTTCTCCTTTAATTACTATTACTTAATTAAAAATAGTAATATTGTAGGTAAAATTTATATCTTTCAAATAATAAATTTCTCTAAGATAAAATCAAACTAGACTATTTGAAGGAAAAATTAAACTCACTTGGACAAAATCAAGACGATTTGTTGTACTGTCCATCTCAGAACCGAGTTCATCTATAATCTTTTCCTGAAGCGAGAAAATTTTGACAGCAGAAATTTCAGACAAATAAAATTACGTCAGAGTTAGAGGTCAAACAAAAACTTATTCAAGAAAATTGAAGGAAATTGAAAGGTAGTTAGATACCCATTAGTAGTTAGTTAAGTGTGTGTTAGTTAGTTTAGTTGGTTGAAGAAATAAGGCATATCGCCTATAAATAAGATAGGTTGAGATAGAGGGATGTCTTGAAATTTAGTGAGAAGATTAGGGCTTTTGGGCATTGGGAGGTGCAGACCCTCTAAGTTCTGCAGTGTGTGCTCTTTCCTAATAAATTGGGGATTTTTTTCCCAATTCTTAAATAAAGACCAGGTTTCAATCAGAAACACATAATTGCATAAAGACAAAAGTTCTAACTAGCCATCAATGTTTTGAAGCAAAATAGCAAGAGTCATGGAGAAAAACCTCTCAAACCATTACCTGTGCAAGGAGTTCATCATGTATTGTAAGTCCAACACCTCCAATTCTTCGTACACTTTCACTAAGCTCATCCAACTCCTCATCCTGTTTCCTATTAGTCCAATAGATACAAAATAAATCAAAACTAAACTAGTAACAGGAGGCAGATTGTATTTCCAGAAAGGATAACCGTGTACATAAGGTTTTCTCAATTCTTGAACAGCGTATTTCATGTTTTGTCTTTGTTAAGGTAACCTACTATTGGCTTTAAACCAAACAAACAAGACATTCTTTTCCACCAAATATGCAGAAATGTGGCTATGATTAGAGCCTAATCTCATGAGAATATGCAAAAGTCAATTAAAAACAGTGTTTTGCCATAGTAGAACAGAAGACCAATGCAAAATCCAGTTCTATAAGCATGAGAGAGAGAAGATGGAAGAAGTACTTTATAAGCAGCATTTGTCTATCTGATTCTGATTGTATGAAGTCATCATTATCTCGGGCAGCATACTGATTGGAGGTATCGGTCTGATGGGAATTCGGTAGCCTAAGTAGTTCTCGGCGCATCCCATTTACGCTAGCATGGCTTGTGGTACTTGAGCCCTTTCCGGCTTCCACTTCTTTTTTCATTGTGCCAACCTAATAATGCAACAAAGGAATCCTTTATGCATGATGTTGATATTAACAAGAAAATAATATTAATAAACAGCAGCTGAGTGTTTAATTTTAAAAGAAAATAAAATTATTTCATCTTCCCTACATTAAACAATGCCATACATTTTGGATACCTGAGTACGAGCATTGTTTGTCCATCTACTCCGGCTTTCAAGCTCCACTTCATCAATTCCATACCAAGAAGGATCTCTAGATGCAACAGCAATTGCTTTATCCAATTCATCCACCTTTCTATCAAAAAACAAAACCTCAGCAATAGTTTATAAAATAGGTTACAAAAGAAAAGACAATGAACAATGACAACAACAACAACGACAAAAAACTACTGAACATAGTGTTTGGTTGGAGGGGAGGGGAGAGGAGAGATTTTTAAAATCCTTTCTTATTTAGTTCAATTTTTAGGAGGGAAGGGGAGGGGGAGCAAAATCCTTCCTAACCCAATTTTAGCTCCTCTCCGATATTAGAGGGATTTGGAGAGGAGAGAGGAAGGAATTTAAAACATTTTTAGTATAATATCCAAAATATCATTATTATGTCATTAAATTTAAAAAGTTATAAGGATATAAAAGTAAATTGATTTTTAAAATCCCTCCCCTCCCCTTATGAACCAAACAAGAAAAGTCACCTCCCCTCCTTTCAACTAAACAGACCCTAAAACAATAGCTTCTTTTAAGTAAAATAGTGTGTTTTAAATGCTAGATAGTGGTGTGCCACAGTTCCCCCAAAAAATGCTATGGCAGATAGTGAATTGTGAAAAATTTTCATATAGCTTCTATAATGTATACAGTATACAAATAAATTCTCAAAAATGATAAAAACTACTCAAAGTTCAATGACATTTATAATTAACAATATTGGTGTCTTAAACAGAATATACAAGTAAATACCAACAAAAGTCAAATACAAGTTTCCTAGCAGCACGGCTTTGGAGAGAAGAGAAAAGAGAAAACAAGAGCAAGCTTGACAGAGAGAAGAGAAGAGGCAACAGAACAGTAGCACTCGCAGGAGAATCAATTGCAATTGCAGGAGTAGCAGCAATGCCGAGAGGAGAGGTAGAGATATTTGAGAAGGAGAAATCAAGAAATGGGGTCAAGATGAGAGAGAAACAAGGGTTGTGTCAACATAGTATAAGCCAAATATATTTTTGGCAAATGAAATCCCTAATTTATCCCCCAAAAAAATCCCTAACATCTCTGTTCAGAGGGATCTTTTGGAATCATACCATAGCACAAAAGCGTGAAACTATGACTCTTTTTTATAGAACACTCAAAAGTGATTAAGGTCAAATCATTTTCACTCCATTACCACAATTACATGACTCTTGTATTGAATAAAATATGCTGGGTTAAAAGATATTTGATTCCCTTGTTTTTGTAATGAAATTTATACCTTGCATCATAATTGTACTGTAGATTTGCTTCAAGATTCATGTGATGGAAAATATGTTTCAGTATTAAGTGTTTTTATGTTTTTTGGTTAGATGAATTTTGCTTGAGGGAAAACGATGTTCTAGATCTAGACAAGTTGTTAGTTGTCATTTTTACTTGAATTGAGTGAACATTATTAGGTAAAATGACATGCTTGCATTTCTTTTTCCTTTAAATTTGTCCCAAGGATGTAATTATTGTATATAATTATATAATTGTAATGTAGAAATTCAATCTATTCAAATTATAATAATTTTTTTTTGTTAATTATGGTGGTTTTATCTTGTAGGATAAAAGGAGAAAAATCAAGACAAAGAGAGAAGAAAAGAATTGAAGTTGGGGAAGATTCATGAAAGAAAATATTTTTATTTCCACTTACTCAAAAAAGTTTTTGTCATTTCAGAAAAATGGAAAATTAAAGTTTGCAAAAAAAAAATAAAATGCTTAAGCCATTTAGCACAAGCAGGAAAAAGCTCTCCTAAGAAAATTTGTTTAAGCCATTTCAAAAGGGCTTATGCGAATTTGCTTTATTCATGGTGAAGTATTCAAAAAGGCTTAAACCATTCCTAATGGGTTTAAGCCAAATTGTGAAGATAAAGAATCTCATGTTTATAAAACATAACATATTTAAGGGGGGAGGGGGAAAACATCAAATGACCTAAAAACTTTCTTTAGTCTCTATGATCATTCCTATCACTCTCTCTCACTCCACCACCAAAGACCATTAAAGTTAAAGATCTTAGAGGTGACTCTAATGTTCAGAGACATCAACAATATTAATGTCAGACACTTCTTGTTCTTCCTCTTCTTTTGTGAGTTGGTTTTCATGAAAATGAGTAAGTAACTTTCTTAATTTTGGTATTGGATGTAATCTTTTGTACTTCATGTGACTCTTGATCTTTATATATGTTATGATTTCTTTATTATATTGTTCCATTTCCGTTCTTAAAGTTTTAAAGTTTTGATCCTTTGTAAATTGATTTTAAGATTGGATTTTGATTGAAAAATGTTTGCTAAATCAAAGCTTAAAAAAAAATTCTTGCTAATACAAGTTTCTTTGTTGAATATGAAAGGAATTAGTATTCAAGGGAGAAATCTTAGAATCTCTTTATTAAGAAATTGGTATTGAATGAAGTTAATCCTAATCAAAATAGTGAAAGAGTGACACCAGAATTAGTATTCAAGGGAGAAATTTTAGAATCTCTTTATTAAGAAATTGGTATTGAATGAAGTTAATCCTAATCAAAATAGTGAAAGAGTGACACCACACAGTTAATCCTAATCAAAATAGTGAAAGAGTGACACCACACACGCACACACACACGCACACACACACAGTTTCAAGGTCACTAATAGGTATAAGAAGTGAAATCCAATCCTAAGCTTCTCATATTTGAATTACTCCAACAATTACCTACTTATTTGTTACTTGCTTTATAGTGTGTTTGGATGAGAAATTTTACAAATTTAAGGAATTTTAAATTCTTGGTATTTGAATTACTTTGATTTCAATTTCTCTTATTCTTAAAATATTTTGTTTGGATGAGTCAATTCAAATTTCTTAAATTTTAAATTATTAGGTTGAATATGATAATTTGATTCCATCATAGTAAAATTGATTTTAAAAATATATTTATATGTTGAGATTTTTAAATTAAATTTTATAAAAATAAATATTAATCCATTTTTAAATATTTAATAATTTTAAAAATTAATATTAGATAATATTTAATAATTTTAAAAAT